ATCCAGATGATTAAACATAGAATTTTAAGATTTTTAAAAATAAAATGTTTATCGTAAATCTTAGAAAAGTTTGTCTTGTTGCTATCCTCTCCATACTCCCTATTCTGTCAACAGTATACACAAGCTTTTCAGGTAGCTTATTCACTGCTTTCCCCTGTCCCAAGCAGACTACCTGCGGTTTATACTGCAACTATGCTGAGCGGACCTTAGTTACAGTTTCTGGGAGAGAACGCGTTATCTAGCAGTTAACAGGCTGCACAAGGCTAACACGCTCAAACCATCGGTCACTATGACTTGTTACTTCGTGCTAGCACAACCACCGACGGCTTTCAAGGGTTCCGTCTACACAATTTCACTCACAAGGCTTAGGTGGTATGGTTTTAAGGCACTTGCCAAAAGTCCCGCACCTTGGAATCGCCTCCTCCGGACTGTTGACACCAAGAATTCACCTTCCTAAACAATCGACCCTGGATTCGAAGACAGGTCTTATGGTCAGAAAGCAAATGTTCTAACCACTGCCATATATGACAGCCAATATTGCATAGCAGTTGAGTACTCGGAGCTAGTTATATTTATAAGACGTCTCGTTATTTCCACCAAAGTAGAATTGACTATTTTTCCCCGTGGATATGATTTTGTGACGTCACCCTGTGCCTCTGCCCCCGTGCTATCCTGTGACGACCAATGTGACTTGGTATTGATCGCGGCACCAAATGTGACGTTCTAACCCTTGACTAATTCGGATAAGAATCTGGTTAGATTCGGTATCAGCTTTGTCGTTCCCAGCTCGCCTCCAACGTCTGGTTACCGAAGTAACTGCTTTGATTTCTAGTCTAACCTACCCACGTTGTGATTTGATCTTAGGTAGACGAAATAAATCAGTCGTCCGGCCGTAATGCAAGCTGAATTCGAGCAAAGGTGACACTACACAAGTATATGTAAAAGAAAATAAAATAACAACTCGAAAGGTTCAAATATGTTAAAAAAGAATAACAAATATTTTTATATCTGGTTGCTGAATACAGGACCTCGTCTTTCTCCCAAACCGCTTCTATGGATACGTGACACTTTGCGTTTGTTAGGTGAGTCTTAATATCTTAAGTTGTTTTTCAAAAAATTGGTTTTTGGTAACTTCAGGCGATATTCGTAAAACTTGTTTTGGTGGTGTGAGTCGTTCTTCAAAAATAAATTGTTTTTGGTTAGAAGTCTAAGTCGAAATGCGTGGATCTTTCAGTCAGCTCCTGCGAGACTGGTCTCCGAGCTCACAGCTCAACTCTGTCTGCTCTGTCTGCGTCTGCCGAACTGCCACTGCGACATATATGGACGCCGACCAAAACCGGGTGGAGGCCTGTCGTGGTTTGGGTTCCTCAATAATTCCAAAACCACAATAAGAATTTTCTTTGTTTTCGGACAGGAAAATTTATCACTTTCCATTTTTGGAAGTCCATTACTTTCTGTTTTAGAGGGGTTCTTAAGGGAATTGTTCTCCCAAATTCTTCCTTTCTCATATTGGTATCTCACACCAACCCCCTCAGAGGGCGTCAACAGGTTTCCCTTCTTTCTCATACTGGTATCTCACACCTATCCCCTCAGAGGCGTCAACAAGTTTCCCTTCCTTCTCATACATTTACCTTCGCCCATCGCTCACGCCACCATTTAGCCAATGAACGCTCGGCAGCGTGGGTGTGGCTAGTCTGGCCTCAGTTTACAATTACCGCTCAAAGAAAAAAATTATCTTCCTTTTTTTCTTTTCTTCCTTTTCCCTGACTAGAACCCCCACGAATCGTAGTGTGGTCATTAAGTCTCTATCTTAACTGAATGTCATCTGGAATTTATCAACGAGATTTTCGTCAAGTGATTATCAGAATCTCCTCATTGCCTTCGTACTTCTGTCGCCACAATCTGTCCAGGTAACAAACTTTTATCATGGCCAGGTCTGGACATAAAACAAGTGTCCTTTTCCAAATGATATCTCCGAAAGATAGTTAATGGTTTATTCTTTTCCTTTTTCTCTTTTCCCTTCCTTTTTCTTTGGGGTGGTCTCAGCTGATCCTTTTTCTTGGTCGCATCCTCGACCTAATTACGATTATCTTCCAGCATTTCGCCCTGCGAACCACTTGACCAATTTGAAATTTTCATTATTGCCATGGGCAGATTGCTATCTTTTATTCGCCGCGTCATAGCATAAATTTATTCTGACAAATCTGAGATCTTACGAATATCCTATCTTCTGCGAAAAAAAAAATACTTTTCTTCGCAAATGAAAATAAAATCTTTACTTTTCTTTGTTAAAAAAAATAACATCGCTCAGTATGTCTTTCGTGATAGCTTCTTCTCGCCTTAAGTATTTCTTGTTTTAATTTTCACGCTTAATTAGTTAGCCAAACGCTAAATAGTGTCACAATTTAACAAATTTATAGCTAGAAAATATGTTTAGACTGTAAGAAACTTTCGCGATACTAATCGCAAATTTTTACTATTTAACCCATACCTGGGAGCGAAGAGGTGAATTCATGCCTTTCCCAAGGTTATTTGTGTGCAAGTGAATATAACAAATTCGGCTAGAATTGGAACTCGGCACTCTGACTTAGGATTCCGAGCCGTTATCCATTACACCACCGCACATCGAAGCTTAGAGCAACTTGTATTTCCAAGTGGTCTCCCATGTAGATACTGAACAAGCTCGATGTTGCTTAGCTCTCGGTAATTAAGCAAGAACCGGTATTTCAACTTGATCCGGCTCTAAGTCCTGGTTGTGGATAAAGAGTCCTTCACTTACTCAACTTTTCTCAAATAACTTCACGTCTTTTCGACTCAAAGGTTATCGTAAACGTATTCGGAAGGTTTATGAAAATAGTACTCGCTCTTTCTCTCTCCTTTCTCTCTCTCTCTCTCTCTCTTATTTCTCTTTCTTTCTCTCTCTCCCTTCCTTTCTCTCTCTCTCATTTCTCTTTGTCTCACTCTCTCGCACTCCCTCTCCCTCTCATTTCTCGTTTTATCTCTCACCCTCCCTCACTCTTTCTCTCTCTCTCATTTCTCTTTCTCTCTCTCTCTCCCCCTCTCTCTCATTTCTCGTTCTCTCTCTCTCACCCTCCCTCACTCTTTCTCTCTCTCTCTCCCTCTCTCTCATTTCTCGTTCTCTCTCTCATCCTCCCTCTTTCTCTCATTTCTCGTTCTCTCTCTCATCCTCCCTCTTTCTCTCATTTCTCTTTCTCTTTCTCACCCCCTCTCTCTCTCTCTCTCATTTTTCTTTCTCTCTCTCTCTCTCCCTCCCTTTCTCTCATTCATCTTTATCTCTCTCTCCCTCCCTCTCTTTCATTTCTCTTTCTTTCTATCACACTTCATCTCTCTCATTTCTCTTTTTCTATCTCTCCTTCCCTCTCTCTCTCATTTCTCTTTCTCTCTCTCTCCCTTCATTTCTCTCTCTTATTTCTCTTTCTTTCTCTCACCCTCCCTCTCTCTCATTTCTCTTTCTCTCTCCCTCCCTTTCTCTCACTCATTTCTCTTTCTTTCTCTCTAATTTCTCTTTCTCTCTCTCTAATTTCTCTCTCTCTCACACACACACACACACACACACACACACACAAAAAAAATTAAGGAAAAATTACGAAATAAAAAAAAAGGAATCGACCGTAGTTGGAATCATCGTGTCAATGCGAACAATTCTTTTCCTTAACGTCATAGTATGTGTTTCGCCAGGTCTACACACACTTTTGAATTCAGAGTTTTCCTTCTCCTAGACCGGTTGCCAACCACGCCTATAGAAACTAGAAGCCCGTCTGTCCTACTAATTATCTTTGAAGGGTTGGATTTATACCTTTCCGAAGGTTATTAAAACGCAAGTAAATGTCATGAACTCGACTGGATTTCGAACTCGGCTCTTCGATTCCTCAATCCGAGTCTCTATCCATTAGTCCACTGTGGCCTTTTGGAACATTTACAGTCCCAATATCAAAACACTTCCGAGAATGACAAAACTAATTCTTCACTCTTATTCACTCAGGAGAGTCTTTATCGCCACGTCCTGAAGGGACATGGCACATAGAAGAAGAAGAAGAAGAATAAGAATGATTATTCAAGGTCATCAATTTTCAAGAATTTATTCAAGATTATTCAAGGTCACTTATTCCTGAAAGTTAAAACAGTAAGAATGAATTTGCCGCTTTCAATCTGGCCACCGTATAGTTTAGTCGCCATTGACCTGACCAGTAGTATATGGAGACTGACACAACCTACAGCATAAATTCGTCTTTATTTTGTAATTCATATTCAACAGGAAGTTAACTTAGGTATTTCTAATTGTAAGCCTCTTTCTGGATCTCCTTTGGGTAAACCATACTTAATAATTTCAGATTTTATTTTTGTTTTGCTTCATTTCTCTTCAGCAACTTGGGGTAAGTTTTCCCTTTTAACTGTTATAACGATACACAGCTTCAACTATAACAGCATAAAATATATGGGATTCAATTGGCTATTTCTAAAGTGAAGAAGATATTTCATTTTGCCAAGATGGAACTCTAACAAAAAAACATATAAACATGTAAAGTAAAGTTTAACAATAAAACATTTCCAGCAGTGCATTATTTACATTATTCGGACTATTGTCCTCATCTTTGTCGCCATATTTATTACAACGTTTCGGCCTTTCAGTATCTGTCTATATTTCTGAGATGAGGTATTATGTACGCTATTTACATTATTCAGACTATTGTCCTCATCTTTGTCGCCATATTTATTACAACGTTTCGGCCTTTCAGTATCTGTCTATATTTATGAGATTAGGTATTATCTACACTATTTACATTATTCGGACTATTGTTCTCATCTTTGTCACCATATTTATTAGGTACTGACGAGGCTCGATGTTCCTTAACTTTCAACGGGATGTGTTCGTAAGCTTCTACTTTATTTTATTCGATTTATCTAGCTGGAAGTAGAAATAGTGGAAGAATATTTTGTTGGGCCAGCAGTCTTGAGATATCAGTGAAGAAACAGTTTTGTCAAGACACGACACCGCTTGCAAGGGAAAGAGATGTCATACCTTTGCTAATGTCACTATTAAACATGAACGCAAATAGATCTAGAACCCAGTTCGTCGTTTCTCGTAGTGATAACCACAACACTAGCATCACATTTTCAGCTGATTAATTCAAATGATTTTTTAGGGTTTATCAAACCTTTGTGTGCTATTTAAAGCTGAAACATATTTGGGATTGCAAGAATGTCTTTTTTTAGTGTGGATATTGAATTAACATTTTTGTAAGAATAACAATGGATTTCCCAGATATGGTTCCACTATTTAACCCATAACGGGGAGAAAGTTTCATGCTTTTCCCAAGCGTATATGAGGAAATTTAAAATAACTGACTCGAATTCGAACTCGATTCTCCACGTTTTGATACTGAACCATTATCAATTATACCATCTGCACATCCACTCATATTTTCAAACACATCCCCACAGTTAGTTTTTACTGACACACATACACACACACACATATATATATATATATATATATATATATATATATATATATGTGTTTCTTGTTCTTTTTCTATCTATTTCTTCTCTCATTTGTATATATATGTATATATATATATATATATATATATATATACATATATATATATAGTAGAATTGATTTTGACATATGAAGATCTAATGATTTGTTAGAAATGTCCGTAAAACTACCGACACATATGAATTTAGTTATAGAGGGGACTATTCTGTATAGGCTTACTTTTAGAAATAGGTGATAACAGTGAAAATGGTTCAGAGTGTGCAATGTATTCTCCGCTCCGCTTTTTCCTTCTCCTAGATTGGTTGCCAACCATTACTCTGCATATTTAACCCTTAGCTGGGGGAAAAGAAATGGGCTCACAAGATTCCTGATGGCATTTGTATGAAAGGAGACGAAACATCGGATAGAATTTGAACCTATATGCCGTTCCCACAGCAATAACGACTACACTACGCTATATATATATATATATATATATATATATATATATATATATATATATATATATATATAATAAAAAAACAGACCACGTTAAGATTCCATGTAATAAGCTATTTCACCATAACCCCTTTAACAGGGTTCTGGATCATCAGACTTTTACTTCCAAAAGCTGAAATGAAAAATGAAAAGAAATTCACACGTTTTTGACGGACCTCATCAAGTATACGTAAAATTAACGAAGTGAGGAAGTGAGGAAGTGAGGTGAGAGAGGATATGAGTGTGTCATATGTATCATTTCAATTTCATATTTTTAACCCCCGTGTGTCGGCTAGATGTTGCTCAAATTTAACGCGTCTCGTCTCTAGATATAAGACCGACATTAAAGGGAGAAGCTACAACAACCCCAATCAATTACACGACAGGTTTCATTCAAATTCTTAGACGCTGTTAATTCGCGTTACTTTAATGTGCATATTTGGGAGGTTAAGGTTTGATAAATATCTAAATGTCTAAACAATCTACGAAGAAATTAATTTGAAATTCGGTGGAGTTTTGGGTATTTTCTATGAAACAGTCGATTGGAAAAATTCATAGACAGTACATTGAAAGAGTAATCCATTTTATATTTAGTAATCTTTTTTATTCTACTAAAACTTTTATCTTATTGCTTGTTAGGTTGACATCTATTCGTTTGATTTTTGTTCATTAAGTAAACTCGTGATTGTTTTTGATTTTTATTCATTAAGTAAACTCGTGATTGTTTTTATGTACCCAATTATCAACGGTTATTCCCATTTAAATAATTTTATCATCAATAATGGGGTAGTATATTTCAATCTAAATTAAAATACCAATTTAAACTTTACCTTCGTGCTATTTAAAACTCACTTCCAATTGGAGAATATTAGAGGAGAGATTTGGATGAGATGTCATTGCAGAAAATTAGGTCCTTCTTTTACAATCTTTTATCTACACATGTCTTAAACCCCTATTTATCTCCACATACCATATATATATATATATATATATATATATATATATATATATATATATATATATATAAGATAGATAGATATAAACAGACGGAGAATAAGATAGATAGATAGATAGATAGATAGATAGATAGATAGATACGAACCGACTGGGAATAGATAGATAGATAGATAGATAGATAGATAGATAGATAGATAGATAGATAGATAGATAGATACGAACCGACTGGGAATAGATAGATAGATAGATAGATAGATAGATAGATAGATAGATAGATAGATATGAAATGGCAGAGAAGAGGATAGATAGATTCTTTGCTAATGTCTATACTTTGGTATTTCTGTTCACAATCTTCTGAGTCAGTGAAAATGTCAGATTCGATTAAAAATTTCAAGTTGACATTTTTGTCTGTACTGCCCGGAACTAATCATTTCTTTTTGAGTCACGTGCTTTTTTTTTTGGTGGGGGGGCGGATGAAGGCGAGGCTTACAATAGACAGAATTATCGAAATAACTTCCGCAGGTTGAGAAGTATGATCTCCAATCCTATAGAAAAAGTTCTTAGACCGGATAGAATAATGAAATTATTATCAAATTGAAGTCAGTTTCTTTCTCATAATCATTATTCATTAATAAGTATAGTGTATATGAAAAAAATGTACAAGTAATAAAACTCTTGGATTGAGTCAAGAATAATTTCCGTTTTTGTTTTTCTGACTGATTAATGTGTCTTTTACGGTTTATCAACCATTTGAGGATTATTTAATGTCAGAAAATATTTTAGACTAGCCGGGTGTTTCATTACTCGGAATTTTTTACGTTCAATTGGAGTAACTTAAGTTTAAAAATCAGCCCCATCCTCGAAAATCAATATTAATAACAACATTTGGGAGCAAATGAGGCACATTACCAAATCAAAATGGGGGGGCAATTTGAATTGGGGGGTTGAAAAGGTCTTTTTTTGCGTTCTCAATCTTGCAAGGAAGAAACCTCTTCCATGGCCCGTCATAATAATAATATATGATAATTTTTATTTATAACATAATTTTTTTTAAATAATTCTAATAATCTTTTGCGTTAGATTTCAACTCTCTAAATTGATTGTACCATGTTTTTTTTACAGACATTAAATTTTGCCTTTGATTTTTGCGCTAAGTGTAAGGAATAAGTTTTTTTCGAATTTTCAACTTCAAGGTTGTAATTTTTTTCCAGCCAATTTCGACTCAAAATCGACATTGCAGAATTATCTATCAAACGAATAAAATTTCATCGATGAAAACTGTGGAAACGCATAAACAACATCCGATCACACACACACACATACACACATATACATACACACACACACACACACATATCCATACAAACACACAGATACATACACACACATTTTGAGAATTATAGATAAAAAGGTCACATTTACAGGTTCTCTTCACAGATATGTTAATTAATTCTAATTAATTACATTTATAATTATAATTAATTATTATATATTATTATATTAATTATAATATTAATAATCATTATTTATCATTTATATTAATTAATTTAAGTGAATAATAATAAATGGTATTATTGTAATAAAATATAAGCTATTTTTTTTATTAAAGTTTTATGGAATACATATATCCATAATAGATAGTAAATAGTAAAACGTTGCTAAGAGTTATAATGGACAGGAAGTAGTGGAGAGCTATCGTCGCCAACAATTTACACTCAAAACCGGCACTAAGGAATTATCTATCAAACAAAAACTTTCATCGAAATCGGATGAAAACTGAGAAAACGTATAAACAACATCCGATCACACACACACACACATACATACATACATACATACATACATACATACACACACACACACACACACATTATGAGAATTACAGATATAGACTGTACGAATTGGGCGGGGAGATAATAATGATTTAATGATGCAAGTCTTACTAATTAACCCATATATGGGGAGAAGAACTAGGTTCATACCTAATCAGAATTTGATAAACAAACAAGAAATTATAACGTGATAATAAAGCGAGAGATGATGGAATTTTCACTAAAGGAACTTCCGATTGTCCACTTCCGTTCGTTTTTCCTCGATTTTTGTTTTTAATAGTTTCAAATGGAAACCGTAAGAAGGAAAAAAACGAATGGATCACAAATGAGGTTCTCGACATGATGCAAATGAGACAGAAAATAATACCAAGATATAGAAAAGAATACACAAGGAAATAAGGAACAAATGCAGGTAAGCTAAAGAGGAGTGGCCCAACGAAAAATCTACAGAAATAGAGAGAATAAGTATCACAGATAAAGGAGGTCTGCATAAAAAAATAAAAGAGCTAACAGGATAAAAGACATGCTCATCAACAGACTTGCATAAAATCCAAGTACAGAAGGCTCATATTCAAGAAAGAAAAAAATATTCTGCGCGGAATCGAATATATCGGAGATTTCTTCAACGACGAAAGAGAACAACCGGCAATACACATAAATATCGACGGGCCGGAAAAATTAAAAAAAAAAACAAAGTGAAACCTGCACTGGCCAAATTGAACAGAAACAAAGCCGTAGGGCCAGACGGAATCGTAAAAGAGATGCTTGTCGCCTTAGACGATTTGGGCATAGACAAGATTACAGAAATGATAAATGAAATCTACAACAGTGGTGATATACCGAAAGAACTGAGCAGGCCTACTTTCATAGCACTGGCTAAGAAACCGGGAGCAAACAAATGTGAACTCCACCGGGCAATCAGACTAATGAGCCACTTAAGAAAACGCATCATCCGATTCATGGTGAATAGAAAGTACAGCAGAATCAGTCCAGACATAGGACAAGAACAGTGAGGGTTCGTCAAAGGCATCGGGACGAGGAACGCGATATTTATTTGTTATTTTCAGAATGTTATCGGAAAGAGCAATACAAATGCAGAAGGATGAGTACCTGTGTTTTATAAACTACGCAAAGGCGTTCGACAAACTCCGCCAAAAAAGATCTGTTAGAGCTGCTAGGCAAGCTTGACATATTCGGCAAAGACAGTAGAATAATCAAGCATCTATATTGGCAGCAAATCGCCCGCATACGGATAGAAAAGAGGACTTCTGTAGATATCCCAAAATAGAATAATGTGTAAGGCAAGGATAGGTCTTCTCCCCGGACATGTGTCTTCTCAGCCTATACAGCGAGGCATCACTGGAGGCTACAATCTTAAGAATACCAGATATGCAGATGATATAGTCCTGATAGCAGACACAGAAAGGAAAGGAAAATGAAACAAGTACAAAAGCACGGGATGTGTGACACAGTTGATCATTGAATATAAGATATTTTCAGGCAGTAAGCCGAAAGCATTGTATTGTATATTTTTTTATGTGATCTGTTGGATTTCATATGGTTGCTTCCTAATCCTTTGGATCATATTAAAAATATACATTTGCTTATTATGGAACTTATTTCTTTAATTTCGAACCAGCAAATGGCATACACATTCACAATAAAATTTATTAAATTTTGGAGTTTGGTTGAAAGATTTCGTGGGTATGCACCACGATTCCATAAACACATCAGCCTGATGGCTAAAGTTAACCACCTTGCCTGGTTTAATGGACCAATTTTTCATGATGCAAATCTTGAGTCCACCTTACCTCTAGAAATACCCACTGTATATTCATAAAGGAGTCTTTGGTCACAACTAAGAGTATCTGTATTTTCAATTTTAAAAATAAAATCCAAAGGATTGCCAACAGCTGAAAATGATATTTGGGGTAAATTATGGTAATCATTTGCACATAATTTGCCCAATGAACCATTGAATGTGGTAGTGCTTTTTGTGGTAACTTTCTACATGTTTAAAAAGAGATCTAAACAGATCTTAAGTTTTCTTTACAGCCTATATTGGCATTAGTGCTGTCAACAAGGATAGCCTTGATAGTGCTCACACTATTGAATTCATGCAAGACATCAGCCACTTGCTCGGCAAGAACCACACCAGTTGCACCAATATTAGGAAGAATCCTATGTGTCAGATATTCACTTTCATATGTCATCTACTATGTGACAGTCAAGTGGCGTTCTGATCCCTTGTTTTTGTTCTCTCCATTTTCCTCCCCTATTTGCTTGTACATTAATGTGTCTTTGTCAGTTCTCCCATCAACTCCAATACAAGGAAGATTTTCCAACTTTTCATCATGCTGTTGATGGGCATTTGTTTTCACTTTAGCCTTTGCTCTATCAATTTTACATTCATCTATATAGATATCTTTTTAATTAATATTGGGGATAAGAAGGCCAATAGCCCTCAAATCCAAGAACAAAGCATTGGCAAAGCTGGCTCCAAGATTGGAAGATACATCACACCTGATCAACTCAATACCGTGGAATTTTGATAAGGCTATAAGGCCTTTTGGGATGCTTTTTCCTGCCATTTTTATTAAAATATCTGAAAAACAAAATATATGTATTATCAGAAATTACACAAAAATACTTTTCAAAATAAATTTGAAAATAAAGTTCGAAATACATTATCAATTTTAAAAAAAAGTAATGTTTTACTTACATAAAGTAGAGTTAGTTCCGAGATTAGCTCGTAAACAGGCTTTTTAATAAAAGACACTAATTTTGAAAATATAAACAAATTACAATAATTATAAATATTGTATTTTTTTTTCAATAGTTAATTATATTTTGATGAAAAATACAATAGATATTTGTGCTAGTTAAAAGTGTAAACAGTAAACAAAAATAAAACGAACTTACAGGAGGAGGTGATTACTACCGGCAAACACCGAAAAAATATCCAATAAAAAAGACGGCGTTCATAAGTAGGTATTTGTATTTTAAACTAAATATTTTAGTACGATCTATTTTCTTTATTTTTGGTAATTTCATTTAATTTATTAAAAGAATAGATACTAAACTTAAACATATCGATTATTAAGTGTATTTTCTTCTGTAATGTTATGATAAAAATCGCAATTTATTTTGTATATAAGTTTGATTCCTCAAATAAAGACGAAGTTTTGAAGAAAAATATTTTTTGTGGTAATTTTTGACGTTATTTTTCAACTTTCCTCGAGTTATTTTTTTACAGTTCCAAAATCAACCTACACACTCTCTCTCTCTCTCTCTCTCTCTATATATATATATATATATATATATATATATATATATTAGGTAGGTTATATACCTATAATATATAATATATTATACCTATAATATATATATATATATATATATATATATATATATATATATATATATATATATATAAATATAAAAAAAAACTAGACTCGTTTCGAAAAAAACTCGATTTTTGATTTGCTAATC